AATATTAATAAATAATAAATAAATAGACAAATAATCAGTCTGTTAGGAGGAGAAAAACAACCTTGAAGGTCTAGATTGGCCATTCTGCAGGGGATGTAGAAGAAAACAGTGATTTTAAATACACAAAATATATGTTTTTAAGGAATAACCTTGATAGAGTGTGAAGAAAAATATTCCCTAAATAGCACTAGTTTTAAAATTAATAAAAAGAACTACAGTTTGATATCATAGGTCTGAGCAAAATGTGATACACCATACTACAACTGAAAACCTGGATTTACTAGAGGAGAGCCACATTAGCACACACAGAGAGAACAACGTATAGTAAAGCACTTTACTGAAAATGGAGGTACAAATTAATATAGTTTAGATGCTGAGGTAGACTCTACTTCATGTCTAGGTACTGGTATATTTCTCTTTTTTATCGCAGTATTGTCTTAGACAATGTAAGAGAGTTTCATAAAACAACAAACCAAACCCCCAACAACAATAGAAAAAACCCACAAAAAGAAATAGAATACATTATCCAAAACACGTATTTCATCATCTTTACAAAGACAAACTTCCATTAAGTGTAATAGTCTACTCATGCTGATACTTCTATTATGTCATGGCAGAGAATGACTAGTATGCAATTGCTTTGCATGGACATAAAAGTATTGTTATTTTATGTTCTCTAAGAGAAAATAAATCATGCTTTTCAAGCTATGGTGCTTCTGATTTACATACCTAAGGACAAACAATTAATATAACAGCAGAATTTCCTAGGAAATCTCTTCATGAAAGGAAAACATAATTACTGCAGTCAAACTCTGCTAGGCAGAGCAGACAAAAGAACTTTTTGGGTTTTGGTTTTTTTTTAAAAAAAAAACAAACCAAAACTATCATGGTAAAACAGTAGTTTAAGTTCTGTTGTTACAGGAAACAAACGAGTTAAAACAGACCAAATACTGACCAAAGTATGATACTGAGCATTGACTACAGCATATTATTTGCTCAGTCATGAGATGGCCAAGAGCGAGTAAAGACTGGCCACCAGTCTAGAGGCCAGTATACTAAATATGGAGTACAAGCCAATATTTGCATCAAGTTTACCTCCCTCTATCAGAGCCTTGCTTGAGAATCTCCTTCATTAGGTAAAATTATATGATTAAGCTAACAGTGTTAATACTAAAGGATCATACTCTGACTTTGCCTACACCAAGTAGTCACAAGGTAAACTTTGTTCAGTTGTACAAGGTTTACCAGGTCTTTGCATCCTCAGAGCAATGTCCACCATTATTAATTACCCTCCTCTATCTCCACTCCTGATCTCTACTGCCTATAATGGATTAGAAACAACTTACAAAGAACAGTGTCTTTTCAAAAGGACTGACTGTCTGCTGTTATGAATAAGAGGCCTCCCTTCCTGTTAGTAGTTTTAATAAGACATCATCTCGTTGCTGTCAATAAAAACAAGTTGATAGAATGATATTCCCATCTCATGGTCACAAGAGAAGGAATGCAAACTGACCTCAGATGACAGATACTGTAAATGACAATGGCCACATCTCAGTCACTTCTGTGCTATACATTTCCATGAATTCTCCCTCTTTAGGTAACCAAAGGAACAATCCCTGCTTTTATGTGCTAATTTAACTTTAATTATGTAGTCATGGATGGAGCTGCCTTAAACTTTGTTCATTTATTAATTTAAAATAATGACAAACAGAAACACATACTTGGTAATCAGAGTACAGTTCATTTACTGTAGCTTATAATTGAAACTTACTGTTCTCCATACAATTTTCAGTAAGAAGCACGAGTGTTTCAGCAAGGGAATTTTTTTGGTTAATGCAAGGCAACACCAGCCTGCATCTCAGTTTCCCTGATTTCATGGCTAAGGGAATTGCGTTTATTCTCCTTTCAACTTTATTTAGCCATTGCGAAAAGCTCACCTACAGACCCAGTGACCAGATAGTAAATCACACAATGAAACCAGAAGGACAGCATCAGTGACAGTTCATGAAGCTGACTGTAAAGGAGGGGTCTCTGAAAAAGCTGCCAAAGCAGCTGTGTAGATGGGCTAAGACATTGCTGCATGACAGCAGCAATCTGCTAGGAAGGGCTTGTGTAAGACTCCTGTAGGAAGGGCAGGGGGAGGTGGTCACTTATAGTGAGTTAAAGGGATGCTGAACTCTGCAAGGGGCAGAAAGATTATGGAACTCAAAAGAATATGGAGCACTAAAAGCAACCAAATTAAAAAAAAAGTAATAATTAGGTTTTACTAAAACAACACAAAAGTTTAAGGGGGAAAGACGGGGCGGGGGGAATGTAAAAAATAAAACCAAACCAACTTGGGAGGCAGAGGGGAGTCTGACTGGCAAGCTGAGGCAAACAGCAAGTCACCACAGAAGTCTTGGAGAAATCTTTCCCACCCATCCCACCCCCCCCTTTTACTTTTTTAAATTAAAAAATATGTCACATCTTTTCAATTAAAAAAAAACCCCAACAAACCCAAAACAACCAACAACCCACAACCCTTAAGATATAATGTTTTCCTATTACATATTATATTTGCTTGAAGATACTTTATTTCTGTTTCAGTACAGTGTTTCTGAGGTGGTAAGTAGGCAGAATCTCTTGATACTGAATAATCTAGACACAGCTAATGAACAGCACCAAATAATGCCCAAAGGAAATTTTCAATCCACTGTTACAATGCTGGGGGGAAAAAACACAGTCATGATGGCTAAAGTGTGTGGAGAAATAAACAAGCAAAAGGCAATAAAAATTATTGTTATAACAGTATACTACTATAATATTTTACTTTGCAGACCTTGTGTGCAGGAATGAGGTTAATCAAAATGGAGTCCAGCAGCTCCTGAGTTACTCCATCGCCTTCCATGATGATAGAACTCATCAAATCCAGCATATGCATTTGTACCTTCTGGTTGTGGCTATTACTAAGATGATAAAGAATATTATCAATATTAAATTTTTAGACCCTGACAAATACTAACAGTACTATTAGAAACAATGTCTAACACCATCCAGCTTGCCCTCCCTTACACACTAAGCATCTCAAAACTATTTTATGTGCCATTCCTCTCTTGTAGAAATCTTCAAAAATCTTAAAGTAAAGCTAGGGTGTTCTAGAAGTGAAACAAAACAAAAAAGAAGAAAATAACCATGGAAATACAAATGTAGATAAATGAGTCAGAATGAAGCATACAGTTGTAACATGTCTACTTTTAGACACAGTCCCCTCCATATTGTCAGCAATTCACACTCATTTGCTTTCCCTGTATCTCCTTGTTTGGAGGAATAAAGACTTGTTCTATTCAGATATATTTATTTGTAGACTATGCAAGGATTCAGTTTATCCCCGAAAGTGATGATGTTTTGACAGTTTAATATAATTGAAACAATTCAACTTACTTGATAACTGAAAAAAGAGTCCTAAAAAGCTGAATAAAAATTTCATTGCAATCTTCCAACTCAAAGCAGATGTTGTAAGATTTAACCCAAGCTAAATTCTAAAACAAAAATAGGATATTCAGGATATTATAACTTCACATTAAGTCACATAAATATAATCATGTTAGTTACATTTTTTCTATTTAAGGAAAAATACTATACAATAGATTGCAAACCCTTTGGGGAAAGGGACTGGATATTTGTTGCTTTGCATATGAAGAGCTCTTAATACCTATATATATATCCAGAAAAAACTAAATATAGAATAATCTGATTTCTTATGTGTAAAAGCAGATTGACAGAAATTGTTAAATATAATAAATGCATGTTTCTAGACTTTTTTCTTCATGCTATGAAACAATGAAGTTTTAAGTATCATTAAATAGGTTTACAACAAGATACTGTTCCTAAATGCACACTGATAAACCCCCCACGCTTTTGTCAAGAGTAGGTTTTTCTAATGTTTTTAAACCAAAATCTTATATTCCTTCTCCCACAATCAATATAAGCAGATTTGCATTTTAATCAGCATTTGAAATTCTCTCAATGAGGTAATACAACCTTAAGGGTGCATGATATGAAAAACAATGTATGGAATTGTAAGACAAAGGCTAAATGTTGATAAATACCAACTGTTTTAATGTGTCCTCAACTACAGGCTGCATGAACTTATTAAATGCAAACAGAATTATAACTGCTAAAAGAAGCAATTCATTGAACTTTTATTCTTTAAATCACACCAGACTCATTAAAGAAATTTCCCAGGCATACTGGCACATCTGGAGAAAGACTTATTACATTTGTTCGGCTTACAGAGCAAATACCATCTACTGAAAGTTACAATTATTGTGTTACCTCTAACAAGTAAAAGTATCTGTTAAATTGAGGGCTCTTCGTGTCCTCCAAGCCTTTTAATTGTCTTGTAATAAACAAGAATATGTCCTGTCAAAAAACAATAAAGTGTTTACAAGCTTGATTCAGCAGACAATAAAAATACAACCTTTAGTAGTGACATCTACCCACATTTACAAATAATGAGAACATTAAATTGCCCATTTTAGGCACTGACAGAAAACTATCACCAACACAGATACTGGTTGTCTAGCATTCCTTTACACATTTCTGGCCTTTAAAGTACTACATTGACTCACAGGACTAAAACAACATCTCTTTAATAAAACTGAACATCAATATAAATGCAAGTACAAATTTTTTCCAGGTTTTTTTGTTTGGTTTTGCGGTGGTGTTGGGGTTGGTTTTTTTCTTTTTGTTTTGTGGGTTTTTTTTGGGGGGGGAGCTCAGTAAGAGAATGAGGTAGGAAGAAAGCCTTTATTTTATAAGGCATTTTTACCTTAAGTTTGTCATGGGAAGTATATGGAGCTTCAGGAGCATAGATACGAAAGATATCAGCCAAGCAACATGCTACAAGGAGGCGCACATCTTTATTGGGATTCCTGAGGAAGAATTCAGATGCAAGGTGCAAGGCTAGTGGGAGATACTGCTGCTTTTCATCCTCTGAGTCCTGGTCCATATCCATGAAGGTTTTTACCACCATCTGAAAAAACAGAAAAAAAACAACCTTGGAGTGCTTTCTGCTTTTATTCCTAATTACTAAACAATACTTTCTAAAAGGATGCATTGCTATCAATACGCATTCCACTGTGTAACCACAGTGCTACAAGTTTTTTGTTAGGACAAACAGAGTAAGATTTCTCTTTTTCTGATGATACTTAAACGCTTATTGAATTTGGTATTTAAAATTAAAACACTGAAAAATGCTTTGTGGCTCTACTTATTTTGCGATCTGAACCTGAGGTGCAGCACAGAAACTGCTGCTGCACACCGATGAGGTTAGAGATGGCAGCACCTCTGCATCAAAGCAGTCCTAGACCACTTCAAAGTGAGGACTTGCCTCAATATGGACAGCATGAGGGGCTGCATGCCATCTGGCCTAATGTATAGGCCACAGTATATTGCAGCTGCTTTAAGAGCTAGCCAAGACTTGAGAAAAACCCAAGATACCAGGTGTTGCGCTCTGCCTGTATCAAGGCACAGAGCTCGAGAACTATTTTACATACGCAGAATCCTTTTATCTGGTTTAAATGAACTAGATACCAGATAAGAATTTAATCCCTCTTGATATGTCTAAAGCTGCAGATCTATTCTTTCTACATACTCGAAACTACATCTACAGTCTTATCTATATAATGAAAAAAAAAAATCAATCATGTGGTTTCCTTGTTTCTTCTTGCGCAGCTAAGAATTACTAATTTCTATGAAATGTCACCAAAATTGTTTATTTTTAATTATTACACAACCTCAGTAAATTGAAGTCTCAAGATAACAATTTGGCAAAACTGGAAGTGAAAATTTAGTTTCAAGAAATAAAAAGTTGCAGGCTTAACTTTTGGAATAGGATTTGTTAAAGATGAGGATGAATTCTAGGATGTTGGCACAGAACCAGGAGGTGTGCCACAGATTCTTAGTATGACCTTAGTCAAATCAGTCTTTATGTCCCATTCCTCCATGTCAAATTACAAAGGACAGCTGTACTGTCTATCAGTAGGACTTAGTATACCCATTACACACACGGTATACACAGTACACACATCAAAGAGATGTAAGAGAAAACAAAGAATGAAAAATCTTAACGGGTCAAATTCACCTCTAGAATATTAACAGTAAAACACAAGAGGAGATTGAGCTTGCACAGCTAATAAAAACATCTCTTACCACAATCACAGAATCACAGAATGTCCTGAGTTGGAAGGGACCCAATAAGGATCATCGAGTCCAACTCCTGGCTCCACACAGGACCAGCCGAATCAGAGCATATGACTGAGAGCGTTATCCAGAAGCTTCTTGAACTCAGTCAAGCTCAGTGCTGTGACCACTTCCCTGGGCAGCCTGTTCCAGTGCCCAACCACCCTCTCAGTGAAGAACCTTTTCCTGATATCCAACCTAAACCTCCCCTGTCACAGCTTCATTCCGTTCCTGCGGGTTCTATCACTGGTCACCAGAGGCAGGAGATCAGTGCCTGCCCCTTCACTCCCCCTCGTGAGGAAGCTGTAGGCCACGATGAGGTCTCCCCTCAGTCTCCTCTTCTCTAGGCTGAACAAACCAAGGGACTTCAGCCTCTCCTCATACGTCTTCCCCTCTAATACTTCTGTTACCATGTCATTCAAATGATACTGAGGTTGTTCCTCTGTTAGTAAGCATGCCCCTGCTTCCAACATGAAAACACTTCCAGCTTTACCTCTTCCCTGAGTTTTGGAATCCAGTAGATCTCATAAATTAAATGTTTGAGAGCAACCTTTCCTACAGTACGTTACTTAAAACTCCTCCTCAATTTCTATAAATGTACAAGTACATTCCCTTGGGAAGCAACTTAGAGCAAAACAACAACAAAAAAAAAAAAGTCAAGAAAAAACCCCCCCATACAAACCCCACAACAGAATAAAAGAAAACTTTACAGCCACAGCCCATAAAAATCCAAATTCTACCTGTATTGGCCTGTTTCCCTAAAACATATTCTTAAGCTATATTTTGAAGCATTAGCTGAAAGGACGAAACCATCCTTTTATTGACAGTACAGGTCTGCCTGTTACAGTGTCACACATCACCTGTGCTTGCTAGATACCAGAATTAAAAAAAAAAAAAAAAAAAAATAGAAAACTTAGTCTTCAAAACCTACCAGATTCTTTCAATAAGGAAGGTTTTAAAAATATATATATAAATAAATAAATTACCCCACCACCACTCCAAAACCTAACATGATGCAAAATCCAAAAAAAATCACACCATGCTCTCTCTGCTGGTGGCAGGACAAGGAACAATGGCCTTGATTTGCAGCATGGGATTCAACTAACTATTACTGAAGGCTTTAAGAACAGGGTAGAGAGGACTGAAAGATCTGTGGATCCTGCCCTAGAGACTGATGATAAACTGTATCTGTACCATAGAAACTTGTCCCACTAAAGTTCCTTTCAGTCTTTTTACTAATTTTATAGTTAGATCAAAATATGCTTATATAGGTTTTCTCATAAGCTCTATCTCTGTTCTCCCTATGTGTATTGTAAGCTTCATAACCAGAATATCCTCCTAAATTCAGATATCTCTTTCAGTTCTCATATTCGTATGACAATACGCAGAAATCTTGCATATATCCCTTCTCCAATATGTCAAAACCAGACAAGGTAAGGCAGTACAGTGCTGTGAAAACTCACACAACTTTCCCATTCGGTAACAAAACATTAGGATATTCTGGTATCAAAGTAATGAGACTAGTCTTTGGCACTATCTTGCATGTTTGAAAACACATCAGCCTTACGTATTTTCCTATGTTGCTCTGGTATTCAGATGGAACTGCCAGCAAATATCCGTAAAACCTCATTCTATTGCCCTGCAAAGCACTCCTTGGTATTTCTTTTCTATTAGAAAACAACATTTGAGCAGTAATTGGGCCACTGGCAAGCTGCAACTGCTATTTAACGTACTGATCTATGTTTCCTCCATTGCTTCTTTATAGTCCCATATCTGCTTATATTTGTGTGTTGTCTTTTGGTTTACAACAAAGTCTTCGGTGCATGACATTCTGTTTACTGCATGCACAAAAAATGAACAGAATGCTATCTTGGTCTTTATCTAGGATCCCAGATACCAAAGCAATACAAATAATGTATGGTGTACACAAAATATACAGTATAATGCAAATAATGAAAGTAATATATAAACAAACTACAGAGGGCTATACCACAGTTAAAAGCATGATGTAAATTCTCGCTAGTGGCAGGACACTTGCAATGAAGTACAATCCATAAATTTGTTGGACTCTGTCATTGTAGTTCAACAAAAATAATTCTACACATTTCTAGAATATATGCAATTAACTATATCTAAAATCCTACAGCCTGGGAGTAGTCTCTGTAGCCAAGCAACTACTGGCACTGATTAAGGTATTACACAATAGAGTTATTTCCAAATGTCTGCTAATCTACAGATGAGATTAATTGTTAATGTAGAAGAAGAAGGAAAAAAAAAAAGTCCAGACATTAAATACAATACATACTTGGCTCTTTGCACTTGCTAGAAAGCCAAGAACACTCTCAAAATTTCACCTGTTACAGGACTGGTACTCTTGCCCTGTGGCACAACTGAAAAAGTAGTTATCAAGCAACAATCAAGAGAGCAACTTAAGTCTTTAAAAGTACAAGATATTGTATGTTTGATGAAATCACTTATTTGTAATAGAACCACATATCCTCAAGTACAACACACTGATCAACAGCTGTTCCATGATTTCCTAGTGTACTCCTGTCCTTCTCTCCGCAGCCATCCGTTGTCTTGTTTTCTCTAAGACAGGAACTATCTTCCCTTCCTGCCCCCATGTTCATACTGCATCTAATGCAAAGTCTTGGTCTAAGGACTATAGTTCACAAATACATCCACAATACAAAGAAACGAAATGACAACATACTGCAAGTTCTTTTCTGTGCTAAAGTCCGACAAAGCAAACTGTTGTGGTTTTATCCTAGCCGGCAGCTGAGCACCACGCAGCCGCTCGTTCACTCCCCCCCATTGGGATGGGGGAGAGAATAGGAAAAGTGAAAGGGAGAAAACTCGTGGGTTGAGATAAAGACAGTTTAATAGGTAAAACAAAAGCCGCGCGCACAAGCAAAGCAAACCAAGGGATTCATTCACCACTTCCCATGGGCAGGCAGGTGTTCAGCCATCTCCAGGTAAGCAGGGCTCTGTCACATGTAACGGTTACTTGGGAAGAAAAACGCCATTGCTCCGAACGCCGCCCCCCCACTCTTCCCCCAAGCTCCTTATAAACTGAGCATGACGTCATATGGTATGGAATATCCCTTTGGTCAGTTTGGGTCACCTGTCCTGTCTGTGTCTCCTCCCAACTTCTTGTGCACCCCCAGCCATCCCGCTGGCAGGGCGGTGCAAGAAGCAGAAAAGGCCTTGGCCCCGTGTAAACACTGCTCAACACTAAGTCCATAGAACAAAAACATCTCTATATTATCAATGCTGTCTCCAGCACAAATCCAAAACATATCCCCACACTAGCTACTATGAAGAAAATCAATCCTCTCAGCTGAAACCAGGACACAAACTTACTTCTAATCACCAGGGATTGGTATTACATGGGATACACAGAATAAATAGAAATAGTAACGTGTAGTTAAGCATACTTATCCAGCCCTAACCAAAAATTTTTCTTAATTTGTAACAGAAAATATAATGGAGTTATAGGAAATGTACAAAGAGTGGGAACTATGACTACAATACAATTTATGGGCTCTCTCAGAGGAATTTAAGGGGGAAAAACAAAAAGCAGTATGCAAGTTGCACTATGACTAATAAATATTGATAGCATCTTATGAAGAACTGCTCATCATTGGTTCAGAAATATTTTCATAATTAAAATTTTTAGCCATGCCACTGCAATACTGGTGTTAATTGTGACAGCTAGAAATCAACCTATGAAAAGGTATCTGCTAATGAAATAAAAAACCTGAAATAAACTCTACATATACAAAAGACTAA